AACAGTCTCGCTGTGAGCTTGCTTTAGTTTAGCTGGCTGTCGTAATAAAAGTCTTGTGAACGAAGTTGCGCAAACGATTTCGATCAAGGTCGTCGGCGTGAGTTCTTTCTTGGTATATGCGCAACCTCAAGTGCTAGGCCTCTTGCGCGTGATCATGAGGCGTTCTTCTGCAGGAAGAAGCTGAGTGGCAAGGCAGCAACAAAACAGTTTGTTCACCTGTTCCTCCTCCTCCTCCTCCCTCTTCCTTCTGCTGCTGCTGCTCCTTCTCCTCCTCCTCCTCCTCCTCCTCCTCCTCCTCCGCTTGATTCCACATTTTCCTTGAGAACCTGCAGTGCACAGAGCATGCAGTCCACCTGGTTCCCCACAACGCCAATTGGGGAAAGGGAGAAGGTTTTCGTGCACTATCACATGATGAAGATGTCGAAGGGAGTTAACAAGATAGCCATTATCACTTGGTCACTTGGTCTGCCCTTGCGGGGGAGGAGTCTAGGCTAGGAATGGGGCCTGCTTCGGATTCCATGCATGCCGCCCCTGAAGACACAATAGGTCCTATAGCTTTTGCCTAGCCTGGGCACTTAGAGGTTAGTTTTTGTCTAGGTTCGGGAACTGGAAATTTTGTTTGAAAATGAACCCTGGGTTCCAGCAGCTCCAACCGTGAGTTCAGCCTAGCCTGGGTTCAAGAGTTGTGTTTTCACCCCCCAGTTCGAACCCAGGGTTCGGGAACACTGGAAAGACCCAAGCTCGCTGGGCGAAATATTGACGAACAAATCAGGAAGCCCATTGTGTTTCACAGAACTGGAGAAGTCCTCGAAGCATCTTGTAACATCTGCTTTGGGTGTTAACCGTCCGGTATTTGCACGTATTGCGGCAGCGGAGATCGCGTAGTGCTGTTAAAACTGTTGTTTCCTCTATACGCTATGGGTAATTTTATCCCAAGTGTTTTGGCACGCATGAATCATGACAGTTCGTGTCGCCCATGCCCAGCTGCAGCTTGGCTCAGCTGGCCCTGACCTAACTTGTAGGCGGGCCCGCTTGAATTGTGTTTTTCGCCCTACGCAACGAGAGCAAGGCCGCCATCCACTGGCTTGCACAGTGTTTCAATCATGAGTTCACGGTGCCACTCGCCATACCGCCTCTCCTCACCAGCCTCTCAGCCGCAGACGCTATGGCCGACGGTCACACCGTCGGCATCGGGGGCTGGCTTTCCACGCCCGCGAACTTTCTGGTTCGCCCAACAGTGGCACATACATGAACTGCGCGCTGCCTGGCCCTTTCTCACCAAAGAAGCCCAGCAATACATAGCTTGCCTTGAGACGGTGGCCCAGTGGGTGCTCTTGCAAATGGCCTACGAGGCCACGGGCTGCTCCGTGTCGCAACTCACAGTGACAACAGCCCCACACAAGCCGCCATTAATAAACTTTTCACCACCGCCTTTCCGCTCTCCTTCTTTTTGGAGAAGGTCGCCTCATGGGCCCATGCTCGAGGCCTAGCCCTCGAATTAGGCCACGTTCCTGGGATCAAGAATACAGACGCCGACGATCTCAGCCGGAATCGCCTCAACAAGTTTCTTAACTCCAGCCTGGCCCAGCGATTTCCCGTGCACCTCGCACACTTGCAGAAGGCCACGCGCGAAGTTAGCCTAGCCGATGCCCACGTGCACTGGAGCCAAGGCCTCCTCGACATCGCCCAGGCCCCCGCATCTAGCCAGACCACTCGCGTGCCTTTTTGGGCCTCTCAAGTGGGGGTAAATGCCCGCCTGCCTGTGAGATCCTACGCCTCGAGGATCTCCCTGCCTGCAGCCTACTTGCCCAAAGCAGCACCCGTGGAAAAGAGACATTGCCAGTGAGAAGCGTGACCCTGGACCCCACCCGTAGGGTTCTAGGTCTAGGTGGCTCGCTTCTCCACTACCGACACAGGTTAGGTCATGCAGTGTGCGTTGACTGAATGCTATGGGTAATTTTATCCCAAGTGTTTTGGCACGCATGAATCATGACAGTTCGTGTCGCCCATGCTGCAGCTTGGCTCAGCTGGCCTTGACCTAACCTGTAGGGGGCCCGCTTGAATTGTGTTTTTCGCCCACCCGCCCTTTGCCCAGCTCAAACTCATTCTGCGGGCCGCTTGCCTGCTCAAGCAGGGATCCAACGCCTCCCAAAGAGGAGTAGCCCACTTAGGTACGCTGCACCGCCTCCCAAAGTGGAGTAGCCCTGCATTCATAGGGGGTAAATGACCGCCTGCCTGTGAGATCCTACGCCTCGAGGATCTCCCTGCCTGCAGCCTACTTGCCCAAAGCAGCACCCGTGGAAAAGAGACATTGCCAGTGAGAAGCGTTGTTAGACCCTGGACCCCACCCGTAGGGGTTCTAGGTCTAGGTGGCTCGCTTCTCCACTACCGACACAGGTTAGGTCATGCAGTGTGCGTTGACTGAACCACGGCGATCCACTTTGCTTTGGAGTGCACTTTGCAAAGCCGCAGAAAAAAGTCGGGGCAATCCCCGTGCCTCTGCTCAATATTGACAAACCAGCGCCCGGCGCTCGATGCTTCATGGCGTGATTGCAGAACGTAATGTTCATGACAAATTAGCTCGCGAGTGACGCTCATCAGCATAGTGGTCGTCGGGGCAGATGGAGCTGTTGCCTTGCGCACAGAGCCCGTGGGCTTCAACTCAAAGGCAGTGAGCACAGACTCACAGGCCGAATCGCTGGGAAACGACACGCTCGCAGGAATTATATTGCAAAACAGTGCACAAGCCTCGAGTGCTCAAGCTGGTCACAAGGCGCATCTCGTGTATACCCCACGTGACCATAAGCTTGCGAGTGAAGGATCCGCGTTTTCCTCGCACTAACCACGTGATCACAGGACAGCTTTGCTTTGCATTGCATACGCAGTAATAAAAGTCCAACAAAGAATCATGGGACCTGTGATCGCATGTTTTGTCTGGGCAAACGCATATCACAGACGTGAAGTCACAGTGATCACGGTGTTCACATGGACATTCGACCTGTGGTCACGCTCTTTCGTGACCTACAAGCCTGTGGTTGTGCGGCTTTGCAGCTCCCTCAAGCTCTCGCTCGACGCTGGGCTTCCAAAACTTACACCAATCCCCGAACCAAGCAGGTATGCAAAACGCGTTACAGCATGTACAAATGCCGGAAGCCGTCAGACCCAAGACAAAATCAGAGCACTGGTTCCACCACACTGGCAACCTTGGCTGCGGGTGGCTTGATTGCACTGATCATCAAATTTCTCAGAGTGCTGCCAATGCTACTGCGAATGCACAGTGCAGCGGAAGCATGTGAAACTCCAACAACAAAGAATGCAGCTGGGGATGATGTGAACGAGATGAGAATCTTTACTGGTGATGCAGTGAGAATGATGGAAAGAACTTCATGTGAACCGATGTCACACTGCAAATGGTTTGGGCCGGTTTGTGCAAATCTTGAAGGCTTCGGTGCCGAGATGCAGCGCATGACTAATAGAGCTGTAAGCAGACTGGAGACAGTGAGATCAGAATTGTTGCAAGTGGGACGAACGCTTGGCGGGAAAACTGGTTTGGCAGCGAATCTAGTAGTTAGATGCAGCAGGCGAACCAAAAGATCGAACAACTTAGTGCTAACATGCAGATGATACAACACAAAACCGTCGCGCGAGTCTGGAGTCTTGAGCTTGAGGGACGGAATGCCATCGTGCAAAAACAGAAGACTCAGACTCATGAACTTCAACACTGAGCATTCAAAGGATGTGTCTACGTCGTCACTGTTAAGAAGGAGATTGAGCTGTTGGATAGATAGACGCGGTGGGAGAAGCCAGTGTTTGCGGTCCGTCACGATGGCCTTCGAAAAGAGAACGAAGAAGCTCAGTCTTCTTCTCCTCGGCATAGTGGGGCGGCTCCTCCTGACGGACCACCTCATTGATGAGCTGACGAGGCACAACTGGAGCCCGGGAGCCATTCCCCAATATGCAATATTGTCGAGATATCTGAACTCCTCAACCCTCTTTGCGCCCAAGTCTTCCAAGACACCAGCATACTTCTTCAAGTCCAATGTCTGCAAAAGCCTGGCCGCTAGCATCGTGCCATCTAGCTGATACACTACATTCTTTAATTCGTTCGCGGATTGGGTTGGCGTAGTGGAGTTCGGTAAAAACTTGAAGTTCAGAATCAGCACCAAACCCCTCGCTGTTTGACGCCCCAAGAGCCTCATGCTTTTGCTCTGTAGTCCGTTGAAGCTGCTGAAAAAAGCTAAAGTTCCGTCCCAAGCTGGTGCCTTTTCAACCCGTCAAACCGAAGACGCTGTCGCAGTCAAACACAAAGTGCCACCACGTCCATGGAAATGGGAATGGATGTCAGAGGGGAGCCCAAGCATGACTGAATGGCAGTTCCGACCGCCAACTGCCGAGCCAATGGGCATCGCAGGTAGAATCCATGATGCAAGCTAACATTGAAGGTGCAGGGATGTGCAGCTTTGAATGGACCTCCAAGCGACAGCAATGGGAATCCAGCAGACCACTTCTGCACAACTTATTCAGGGCACTCCAGTGGCACTGCAGCAGTCATAACTTGCAATATCAGCAGGACGTGAAAAGACTCCAGGGACTGCAGCGGGAATCAGATGCATTGGAGAAATTGGTCGGAGTTGGAGAAATCTGTAGATACACACCGGTGACTGCTTACCGTATCGCCATCTCGGCTCATTGTGTCCAAAATAGATTCCCATGTCAATAGTAAGTCGCACTGATTGTGTGGATGATCATGTATGTGTCGTATATGCTTGAGCAGCAAGTTTTACATGGCAACCATAAAGCATAGCATACAAAGTTGGCATATGAAGGCTGCGAGTTTGTGGTTTTCAGAGTGCCTGTCATGATCTGCGACATGTTGCAGCGATCGAGCCCACACGTAGAAGCTCACCGAGTGATCGAGCCATCTTTGGCCGGAGAGGGAGGCTGAAGGTTGAAGTTTCAGATCATGTGCTGGGCCGCCACAATGTGATGCTGGAGACAACATGCGTGTCCAACGCATGTTCGGTTGGATTGCGCTTGTCTCATCGATGGCGATGCTTTGCATCGTGGTGACCTCAAGCCTGTTGGGGGAAGGCAGGTCCTTTTTGCTTGCGGCCATCATGCTGCAGCTTCCTGAAAGCCAGGTTTCTGACAAACTATTTGATGGAAATGAAAGCAATGAGCCATCTCAGTTTGGCACCGGTCTCAAACAACTTTCACATTCGTCAGCCAGCGCTGAGTTAAAATCAGAACCGTTCATCGCCAAGCGCCATGTTGCAGCCATCATGTTAGCAATGCAGCGTTCAGGGACCAGTTTTCTAGCCTTGGAACTAAATCGGCACCCCTGCATCAACATGCAGTCTGAGCTGTTCATACATGGGTCGTGGACGCCGGAACTGCGCAAAGATGCTTTGGAGATCTTCTTCAGGGCAGATATGAACGTTTCTGAGTTGGGCATGTTTCCCAGCACCGCACAAGAGGTACTTGTGCATTCTGCTCGGGCTTTCCGAGAAGGTGCCGTGGCCAGGGGCTTCAACTGGAAGCTGAATCAAGAGTTTGTCCCCTGTTGGCACAGTTGGCTTGGGGACTGGGTAGCCAAGCATGGTGTTCGTCTTATTTGGGTGCAGCGCCTGAATATGCTACGGCGCATTTTCTCAAACGAGGCCAACAAACGAAACAAGCTTGCTGTCACAACAAACAAGAGCCTCGCCAAGTTGGCTGGTGCCATGAAGATCTCCATCAACACATCGACCATTCTCCAAGACTTGGCAAGAGAAGAGCAGAATCTCAAGGCTGTGAGAAGAATACTGGCTGATGCAAGACGAAAGGGTGTGCGCGTCCACACGGTCTTTTATGAGAACATGACGGATAGCATTGGAGCAGTCAGGAATTTTCTGTTGCACGACTCGCCCTGCACCTCTCATGCCAAGATGCCGCTGAAGCAGTATCCGGGTTACCAGAAGCTTCACGTAGGCAAGTTCAGAGATGTTGTGGAGAACTGGAATCAGCTGCGCAACACGTTGCGTCGGACGTCGTGGGAGTGGATGTTGTCTAGATGAACGAGATGTTGCAAAGCAACAACTCCTACAAGTCTTCTTGGGATACTGGGAGGGATGCGGAAAGGAACCATGGTTGTCTTGGATGCATTGCAATGTTGTTTTAACGTCTGTCAGCTGTGATTGCGGGTGCTTTCTGCCCGTTTTTTTGGCTTCAGCCGGACGATTTGAGTGAAGCCTGGAAGACCATGCGAGCACCTGACTCAGCTCGACTCTTTCACAATGTCTGCAAGTGAAGCCTGAAACCCTGTGTCTGCTCTAGCAAGGTGTAGCTACCAGAGTTATCCACGCTTTCGTCCCCGTGTCTACCTTCTTGTTGAACAATAACTGAAATCCCGTCTGCGTGTGTTCTCTGCACTGTGGTTTGCCCAAAGGATGCGCTTAGTTTTGGCTGCGCTCGTGTGTTAGTTCGTTACACACCCGGCATGCCTGTGCTTGCTGAGGGCGCTGCCATGGCCTTGAGATACCTGGCCATTCTGGTGTCGGGCTTTGGCATGTCACTTTCACGGTTCTTCTTTGTCTTCACCGGACCACTGGATGATGTTTGCAGCTTTTTCATGCAAGCTCAATCTAGGCTGTCGCAGCGGCGCAGGCGGGCACTTATGCACCTGCGCTTTTCTCTGCATGTGCTTGTGCAAAAGCTTTCTTGTGTGCCATTGTCGTTTGTGCAAGCTTTGCTGCTTGTTTCATGAGTTTAGCATGGTTGGCAGTCATGCAGTGATCATGTTCACAATGTGGGTTCTGATTCTGCAGGAGCCGCGAAGACTCAAATTCAGTTTTGGTGACGTGTCATACTCCAGCAATGGTGTGCCGCTGGCTCAGAATTTCTGGTCATGCTTGAAGCGTACCATTGAGTTTAGGCTTCGAACAAAGGAAGCTCTGTGCCCATCTTCCGGCAGCTGTGATTCCAACATTCCTTGTGCTTGGCGCGAGGAGCAACAGCCCGTTCGGCCAGGTGAACAATGTTGTGAATCAGGCACAACAGTGGTTTTGTCGCATAGAAGCTTCAAGCGCCGCAGCTTTGCTGCGCAGGCACAAAGCCAGATGGTCCAGCCGGGCCAGGCCCAAGGTGCCTGGACATCCTTTGAACACTGGGAGCTTTGCTTTGACGGCGCAGCTTTGTTAAGTAGCATTGCATCTGAAAGTAGTATTGCACGCTGGTAGGCTCCGGCTCCGATCCCTTTGCATCTTTGAGCCAGATCCTCAGTGGTTGCTTTCTGAATCCTGCCACATCGATGATTTGTGCTGCTGCAGCAGAGCTTGAGCTCAGCCTCATGAGAGGTGACGATCCTTTTGGTGGGGACCCCTTTAGCGGTTTCGGTTCAACTCCGAAGCAGCAAGAGCCACCAGGCGGCAAATTGTCGTCGTAGGTCATCATAGCGCTTACGCTTCAGCTTTTCTGCTTGCTTGTCCAACGCAGCTAGTGATGCATGCCTCCTTCATTCGGTGTGTGAGATTGCTGTCCAGCTTAGTGATGCTCGCTGTTTGCTTAGTGACTTAGTTGAGCTGGGGGCACAAAGCTTTCGCATGCTCGGCAGCCAAGGGCCAAGGGCTTCGCTCTGACACCACAGGTGCCTGACTGAGATGTTGGGCATGGATGGCCGAATTTGAGTCCTCTGCTCTCCAAGACTCTTTGATTCTCCGACTGACGTAGATCCATCCTCAAGCAACTCATGTCTTGGTGTGTGATGTGCCATGTGCTATTTTCTGCGTTGTGCCAGAATGGAGCGACTGTCCTTCAAGGCACGTTGAGTCATGAACTGGGGCAGGAATGCTTCCTTCCTCTTCCCGGATGAAGCTTGTGATCAATTGCTTTCCCCATGCGGCTCACGAGCTAGATGGTGACTGCACTGCCACAGCCAGGCATGATCCACTCCTTCCTTGCGCACAAGCAACTTCAGCAAGGTCGCCTTGGGAGGGTTAAGTTAGCCCCGCAAAAAGGAGAGTGCCCGCAGAATGGTGTTCCGTGTTCACACGTGGTAGCTACCTTGCTCATGTCGATGTGGGCCATGATTTATCCTAGAGGTGGAAAACCTGAGATTTAGTGATCTGACAGGTGAGCGTCAGTGCCTGGAGCAGGGTACGTCTGCGTTGGGCAGCACGGGACTTACACTCTCTGGATTCCTGCCAGCTTTGTCTTGATGATGGGCCCATTTTGCGCAGTAGCGCAGCAGCTTTGGGCTTATGTGTGTCACATACGAGATTGGTTGTCAACAGCCGGCTCCTGGAATGAGGGGACGGTTGAGATAGCCGCACATCTGGGACATTGGCTGTACAAGAGGGCGCAGGGGGCGAGATGCAAGACATCCTAGTGGCAGGCCAGTGATTTGCAAGAGGCTCCATGTCGCAGAGTGGGTTTTGAAGGCCATGCTTCCCTTGCTGCAGACGGGAGCAGATGGGTGCGGGCTTAGTTGTCGTGTCTCGCCTCAACGCGCGCATTGGTTTCCAAGGCCAGGCAGCAGCGGTTTCCATCTCAGCTTCTCCGTTACCTCTGCATTGCCCAGACTTCGTGACAGTTTTGACATGGGCAACATTTGTTCTTTTGACGTTTGGCGACATATTGTGACGACAAGAGAGTCTCCCGCATGCAAGGTGGCCCAGAACATCGTCATGATTGGCGAGCAGTTCATGAGTGTTTCGAATGTCGGGTGGAGCAGACAATGTTGGCTTAACGAGCCAAGCTCGTAAACATGACTCTTTTTGTGCGCCCCTCTCTTGCAGTGCCCAGCCTGCCCGGACTTTCCTTGAGAGCCTCTCCGACACTGCCTCCACCACTCTGCCTTGGTATGGGCCCTATGGGCTTGGTTTTCGTGGCTTTCTTGGGTTGGGCCGCCGGTCTAAGTGTTCAAGTGCTTGTATTCGTTTCGGAGCCACTGCAGAACACACACTGCAAACTGCCTCCTGGCTTCTCCTGAGCCGACGTCTGCGAGAGCGGCAAAAACCCTTCACTGGCGCTCGCCCCACAGCTTCTGGGGCTGGCGGATCTGGCAAGCGCTAGCTCCAAACGAGCTCCTCGAACCCGCAAATCCCTGAAAGCTCCGGTGCTCGTGCGATTTTACGGGCGTCGCCGGGAAGAGCGTGCGCTCGGTGTGTGTCATGTGATCTGAAGTCATGACTTGCAGCGTTTCTTTTGTGCCGCTGCGCTAGCGTGCCAGCTGAGGAAAGTGTCGTTGTTGTATGCGTAACACGAGGAGCTCATGGAGTCATTTTCTTGTCGGCAATGGAGGATACACCCTATCACCCCACAGATGTGCATCAGTTGGCCACGTGCCAGGAACAAGCCGCCGATGATGCCTGGCATGACCGCACAGCAGGCAGTCTTTTTGCAGCTTATGCGTGAACGGCAGCTTGAAGTGCTTCGCTTTAGCCACCAAAACAGAGAGGTGTCTTGCAGCAAAGTCTTGTAAAATTCCATTTGCTGCAACGGGACACTCATGCACTGCTGGCAATCCAATCTTTGCCGAGAATCTCCCGCAACATCTTTGCAAAGGGTTACCCAATTTGAATCTACGCTCTACAGCCTGGCAGTGCAACCTTCGCTCGTAGCAGCATGTGTAGCCGTGTAACCTGAGTCTGTACTTGTAGCAGGCACCGCCCAAGAACGGAGCAATGCCGGCTTGGTTTGCACGAGCCTGTGCACCTCAGCGTGATGTAGCGAATTCTTGAAGCAAGGCGCCATAGTTCGGCATTCTTTTGGGGAGACGTATGCTCAAAATTTTGAAAAGGATGGTGCAACTGCGTAACTCTCAGCTGTTGTCATTCGTAGCATGAATGTCTTACGGGTGTTTCTCAGGAGCGACAAGGAATGAGGGAGGGCCTTCCGTGCGCGGGAATGTTCGGGAATGACGATGGCATGAAAGAGGATCGGCCGAAGGTAGTAGGTGTTTCAAAGATTCGGATGGCGAAGCTCCCCTTCCTGAAGGTTCGAAGAATGCAAAGCTGAACCAGCACTTAGAAAAACCTTTGGACCATGTACTTCTTGGGATAAAAAAACAGAAAGGCTATTTCTGCACTGTGAATGCCAGGCAGACCAGAAGATAGATGATGCCAACTCCATGTTTGACGACATCTTCAACTCGGTCCTTTGCCTAAGTTGCACAGCCTTGTCTTCTGAGAGCCATGCCGACAGGGAAACGGGCAATCATGTGACCTTTATGAAAAGAGCCACTGTTCAGGCATCCAAAGCCGAGTCGCAGGGTGCCAAGCCCCCACCCAATCCGTTCAACATGTTCAAAGGCCAGGCCTGGGTTAGGCTTCACTTCAGTCGTTAGGACGTGCAGTGCTCAGTGCTTGTTGGTTTTGGGTGCGGGTGCTGGCTGCGGACTTGACCCTTTGATTGTCGCCCCAAGACTTGCGTCCTGCAGGCTTCGTGAACCAGGACGGGGCATAGAGGGGAATGTCTGAACCTTTCGAAGAGGGCCGCATATCTCATAGAGGTGCAAGTCAGCTTCTTGAGTCTTATCCACAGAGTGGTTCAATGGAGAAGGTGCTTCAGTAGAGCAGACGGTCGGTGGTTTCTGGAGTTCATATCTTGTTTGATGTATCTCCCCAACTTTGTGAAGTCAGGACTCTCCCACAGCGCCTGCAGCGACACCGGCACCTGCGACAACTGTCGGTGGTGTGACGTTGGCCGCACGTAGATCATCGGTAAGTTCCTATTGTTTCGTTCAACTGTTCAACCTTAATCTTGGATCCAAGCCCGAGGTGAACGATATGATGAAGATCTTTGGCATGTCGCAGGCGCAGATTCTAAGACACACCACCCAGTTTCCACGCCTGTGCTGTGCTGGCCTCGTCGTCCCTAAGCTTTCATATGCCGGCAAGGCTCCTGTGCTTCCGGCTTCCTGTTCTGTCATGCGTTGCCACAAAAGCCTTACTTTAGATATTAAGATAGCCATTCTTCTATATTCATCATACAAATCGTAGTACAATACAAGTTTACTTGACAAAGACAACAAAAGAAACACAAGTTGATTAAGTTTTTGGATCAAAAGCCACTACTTCTCGATGACTTAAATTACGGTGAAAAGAACAAGTGGTATAAGATTTGTGATAAAAGATATTGCTATCGATAATACTGAGTATCAATACCCAATAGTAGTAGAAAGAGCATGTGTATGCACATGAGAATATGTAGTATCATAATCAGCAAAAAGAAGATCAACAAGCAGACGGGAATGGCAGATGTATTGAGAATCAAGTTCAAAGCAGTCACTGTCATACATTTCAATAGTCACTGCCATGCATGTCAGCAGCATCGAATGCTTGCAAGGGAAGACGGCTCGAAATGATGGGAATGGGGGGCGTGGATCTTAGAGCTTTTCTCTGTTTCTGGCGGTCTGCAAGCCTTTTGGAAGATGCATAGGCGATGCACTTGCTGTTTGATCAAGATTCTTGCATGCCGACAGCCTACACGGCGTCATAAGACCCATTGACCCATAACTTTGCACATTCTTGGTTTCTTCCATCACTAGCTGCGCTCATGGACCAAGCCCAACAGTGCCCTACCCACCACATGCAGGTGAATCATGTCAGCCCTTCAGCAGTCTAAGGCATGGGCGGCATGGGCGGCATGGGAGGCATGCCGGGTATGGAAGGCATGGCCATGGGAGGTGGTGCGGGCCTTCCTTTTCCATCTGCTGTGTGTGCGGGCAAGAGCACGAGTGCAACTTGACAGTCCGCGTTGGGGGGGAGGGGGAATTGGGGCCTATCTGCCTCTGCAGCTACAGCGCCCCTGGTGCAACTTACAGCAAGACAAACCTCAAACGTGTGCAAGCTTCCAAGGTGGAAGCGCTGCCGGCGTCGATCCGGCCAGGAGCTTGAGCTGGTTTCTAGGATTTTGAGTTTATGTGGAGCTTAAGCTCTGTAGCAGAGTTGCGGCATCTCGCTCAAGATGCCGGTATAGCACATCTTTGAGACGCTTCAACATGTTTAGAACATGATTTGAACCTTTTGCCAAGATGATGATGATGGGCGCTCATGCCTCAGTGCTCACATTGTTCCTTGCTAGCCATCTGATCTTGAGAGAGAGAGAGAGAGAGAGAGAGCCTCATCACGCCTCCGCCCCCACTCGAGAGTTGACCTCTCTTCGCAGACTGCTGAGCTGGGCTAAGAACTCTAAGATGCGCTCTGTGCTTGCATTCGGGCATCATAGTATGCATGTGTCTTTGTCTCTACCGCCTCGAGGGCTAGGACATGCCGCGCAAAAACCGCGCTCGCGGAGATGTTGGTGCATGTTTCTGGCAGGGAGCAGCCATGGCGGCACAGTTGGCCAAGCAGGTGGGTTGCTCAGCAAACCCAAGGCAGAGATTGCGGAAGCGTGTGCTTGGGATTTAGAGCTGTGCTGCCGCTCGAGCCTGTGGTCCCGGTGCAGCATGTCATAGTCCGAGCAAGTTGTGAGGTCCAGGAGTTGGGTGGCCTGAGCCACAAGGTCATGCAGAGATGCCTGCAAGGCCTGCGGGGCTTCCATTCCGAGCCGTTGCTGGAGGTTGCATTTCTTGCTTGGTCATACCGTCTTTGGACTCACAATGCATCGCAGCCGGACGGCCAAATGCCGGCGGCTTGCAAGTATAGCCTGAGCACCGAAGACGTTTGCGAAGGAATGGCAGTTGACCAATGTTTTCTTTGGCACACATGTTGCAATAAGCTATCGACCGCAGCTATTCGACGATTTCCTCTCAAAGCCCGCACTGAGATGCGCTGCAGGTGATGCTCAGCAGCTATTGAAGACAGCTGCAGCACGTGCCCAGCTTCTTGGCTTCCCTTAGCAGGGTCAGGTGCTTCTTTCAAATTTCATTCTCAGCCAGACAGTTTGCGTAACTTTTGCGCTGTGGCATCATCGTCCCATAATATGGATACTCTATTCGAATCAACATCCCTGCGCGTAGATGAAGAGCGACCAAGATGCATCTTACCCCGAACTGACTTGTGCGCACTTTTTCGGGCTTGCAGTGCGGCTGTGGGAAGCCAGCCGTTGAGGCTTCGTAGCAGATTAGAATTTGTTTATTGGCAAAGAGAATCCATGCGCATTCTGAAGGGCCGGTTGACGTGCAAGCCACCGGGCGGGGGGGGGGGGTGGGCGGTGGCGGCAGCAGCAGCAGCACCAACAACAGCAACGGCAATGGCAACGGCGACGGCGACAGCGACGGCGACAGCGACGGACAGGCAACAGCAGCAGCATCAGAAGCAAGACAGTTGTGCGGCATCAATGCCCAGCCGACGCGTGCATCTGGGCGTTGTGTCTTGTCTTCGCATGTTGTTCGTGTCAGGGCACACGTAGACATGTTACTGCAGAGCCTCGATGTGTCTCGAGGCCTGTCTTGTCAAGGTCCTGTTTCATCTTTCCTTGATTTCTTGGGCCTGTGCGTCCAGATTATGCGCTCCAAGAACCTCGGTGTTGCTGAAATCAAGCCTGGGCTGCGGTAGGAAGGGGCTCTGGCTGCTGTACTAGGGTCTGGTTGTGGTACGAACTCGTCACCCAAGGGCCCATGCGATGGAGTGGCATAGGAAGGATGTAGTTGAGTCACGTGCCTTGTCGCTGCCGATGCTATTTAGTCACCCCTTCCCCAGCTAGCAGTACTCGGCCGCGTGCCGCCGTATGCATGGACCCTGTGTACCCAGCGGTTTCCACTGCAGCTGTCTACCTTCGTGGTGCCAGCTTGCGTGGCCTACTACTGCGGCTTGAAATATGTTGCCAGTTCATGGGTCGATGCCACGAGGAATCCTGCGTGGATGCAGAAAGCATTCATTGCGAACGGCCCAAACGCCCTTGGCCACATGGCGGCCCCGGGCTCAGATCATTCAACCTTGGAGGGCATCTTGCAACGTAGCATGTATCATCTGCGCAACATGGGGCTGAGGACGCCGTCACTGCATACCACGACGGTGATGCTGTGAAGTTTGGCCAAGCCACTGGCACTGTGACTTGGACCAAGATGTCTCGAAGCCTTCTTTTGGTTAGAACAGGTAGATCAGGGGTCATGAGAAGTAGCTTCGTGGTATGCGAATGTGCCGCTAATGCTGTCTGCCAGAGAGACCGAACATGGTTTCTAGCAGACAGAGGGAAATCTTAGACCTTGCATTCAGGTGATGCGAGAAATGCTTCTTAACAATGCAGACGGCATCTCGATGAAGGCAAGGCTAAAGCCTTGGGTTGCAAGAAGACACCCTTGACTCACCTGTTCTCAAGAGTGTTCAGGCTTCGGTTTCGGTGAGGGTGCGAACACCTCTGCGTACGTTGCGCTTCATTCCTCGATCCAGCACCATATGTGACTTGCGCAAGCCTGACCTGCTGGTGGTACATGCAAGGCCCTTCCAGACGAGAAGTCGCTGGTGAACGTGACGGTTTGGCCCTGACATGCACAGTGCCGGGAGAGTCCCACCGTGCATAGTAGGGCAGGTCGAGTTTGTTGATGGGCTCTGTGATGGATGCTTGTGTCTCTGTGCTTTCATCATGTCTTGCCATTGCCTGGCTCAGAGCATTTGCAGACTGGTAAGCTGGTTGTGAAGCTTGCGAAATCCTTCGTTGCTCGCCTTAGTTAGTGTCGTGATGCAGCTGTCCTCTACATTCTTTCTCTCCTTGGTGGCGCTCTCGGTGGCTTTGCGGCAGGACCAGGATCAAGGCGTGTCTCTTCAAGCATCTGAGACAGCCCGAACCCTTTGCTGCGTCACCCCTTTGGCCGACTACCCTACCAGCGATAGCAGGTTCCGCGATGATGCGCGAGGAATGCTCAGGAACTTGACCATGAGTGGTGCCTACGGGGTGGGAGATGATTTCAATCGTGCACACTACGACAAGCACTGCCTGGATGCCCTGCAGCTGGAGACGTGTCCCACGGTTTCAGTCTTCACCTTCACTGCTGGTGTGGCCATCCCAAAGTCCCTGTACATACAGGAAATTGATGCTTTCCAGAAGAAGTACCGCTTCCACTCGGAAGAGTATTCTTCCTTCAGCTTCTCTACCCCCGAGTGTCAGAAACCCTTGAAGCATCAGGCAGACGAGAAGCGTTGCAGCCCAGACTTCCAGCACTTCATGAAGTTGCTCGAGTTGTGGAAGGAGCTGCTTCACGATGCACATGACATACATAAGAACTCGGGTGTGAAGGGCTTCTTTTTTGGAAGCAAGACCCAGAAGAATGCAGCAAAGGCCGACCTCGAGAGCGTGAGGGCCCAGCTGCAGGCGATGTGGTAGTCGGAGCTTCTTCGGAGCGCCACAGAAAAAGGACCGAGTTCTGCTCTGCAGAATTGCTCTCTGCGCCCTTTGGGCCTTTGGGGTCTGTGGTCACTTTCTCCTGGGCCCCCGAGGGTGGTTTCATGAAGGGCTTCTTTGGCCTGAATCCCAGCATCTGAGATGTGCGGGTGCCGTGGTGGTCAAATTGGTCCGGCTGCGGGATGACCTTGTGGACGGAGGCCCCGGAATGACAGCGACCATCAAGACACCCGAGGAGCCTGTCCGAAGCTTAGATGTCGGCGACAGTCATGCGTTGTTCAGGGAAGGTGCGTGAGATAGCCATGAGACAGATTCTCAAAGGTAAGCTCGGCTGTTGATAAAGTTTCATCCATGAATCAATCTCATTCAGCCTCTCAACTTGCCATCCCCTCGTCCAGCAGCTGAGAACGGCATCCAAATTGACCTCCACAAGTGCGTCGGCAACAATCTGGGGCTGTTCCAGTCTGTGCGGTGCTTAATGCTTCATTGATGGGGTTTGCAGGACTCGCGTGCTGTGTGAAAGCTGAGCTTGAGGTGCAGTTTCTGTATTTTTCAGCATGCAGTGGACATTGTGTGCGTGTGTGCGTGTGTGTACGTATGTCTGTATGTATGTGTTTCTCCCTCTCTACATATACATATGAATATATCATGCATGATACGTTAGCTCTCCCAAACTTCTGCCTACACCTGGTCCCCTTTTCTTAAGCCTTACAGTTGCCAGGGTCGCGGAGACCAAGTCGTAGACATGAGACAGGATCGGACGTTGTTCAACCTACCCCTTGAGCCCAACACTCCCTGCAAGTAAGAGCAACACATATTCCGCGTAGTCACTATCCTGCCAGTGGGACAAAGATGAAGAAACCGCCTTTTTTCGAGGAAAGCCAAAGTTTGAATCTGCAAGGTGTGCATGTGCATGTATCTGCTTTCTGACAAGCATGTAGCTGGAATAACCATACTTTGCCGTGCAGATGTGGGCCAGTGTGATGCAGTTCTACGGGAAGCAGGGCATGCCTGCCTCGCAGGCCGAAGGGAAAGAGTTGGGGATATGTTGGATTGAAGAGAGCACTGAAAGCTAACCGCACTTAAGGGCCTCCTAACCCATGACTCGCAACTGGTCATTTCTCTCAGCATTGGTCTCCGGACCCCATAACGGAAGACTTCGGGGACCCGAGTTTTAGCGAACTGACCAGGAGGAGAAGGAGAAGCAAGCCACGATGCTGGCGCTCTCAGCTTAGCATTCCAAAAGGACTGGATTGGGAAGACAGCTCTCTCAAGCCTCTCCCGGTACCCGGATGTTTCTGAGGTATACAGCCATGCAGATGCCTCGTGCTCTGAAGATGCTCCCAGGCTGCAGGGCATCAAGCATAAGACGTGGCGCAGAATGGAGACAACCGTCGCAAACAGTTGCCGTAGATCCTAGAAGTTCATCGCAATGCTCCTCACAAACAGTCCCTGTACATTCCACTGTAGAGGAGTGCTACAAGCAGTGAAGGCCATCCCTGACAGCCATGGGAGCAATCCTAGTCGTCTTACAGCCGATGTGCATCACATGCATCACATGTTTCTGAAGTCTTGGGATTTGGAATTCTTTTTCCTCGCGCGTTTCAGTCCTCGGCTCACATCTCTTTTGTGGTGCTGAGGTGCAATTTGGGCGTGGAGCCGAGACGGCGACAGTACGGGTTTGGCTGGGGGAGTCGGGGGTCTCTTAAAGCGTGCTGAGAGTATTCACGCAATCCAAGTCGCAGAAGGCAGGCCAGGCCAGAGGTGGGTCTCTCTAGCGAACCCGGACAACAACCCTCCCCCTTGATCAGGGCAGACTTGAGTGTCGCTTCCAAAGTCCTGACGGCATGCATGAAACGACATCCCAATTCGTCGCTTACCTAAGGCGAAGAAGACATTCAGGCGCTCAAAGATGCGATGGCTGAACCTCCGACGAGTTTGTGGATCCAGCTTGCAAATCTCGTGGTGGGAACTCACTGGCCCTGGAATGCCCTGGATTGTATTTCGATACTCTTCATGCCCAAGCACGGGACACCCTGACTGCCATTTCTGGTGTGCCAGGGCATGGGCAAGGGAGTCGACATGTCGGTTCACATCCCAAAGCCCAGATCAAGCTTCGGCAAGGTTGAGGCCGGTGAGAGTTGGCTTTCGGTGTTTTTTGGGGTCTTCTTGTTAGCAAAACAACGCGCGCACCCCCTTGATAAGTTCCAGGGCCTCCGCAGCTACTACTTATTTGCAGTTTCTTTTTGGTTGCAGGGTTGCTGCAATCGCGATGACATTGGTGCCATTGGTCGATTGTTCCTGCATCGGCGGTGAAAGGGCTTGGTGTGGCAGTGCATCACCGGCTGTGAGGCCATGACGGATATGGCAGAAACTGTCAGCGGCTACCAAAATCTGATCAAGGACGGACCCTGTTAAGGAGGAAAGGGATGGATGTCTGGAAATTTGGGGTCTTTGCGAATCTTGTGCCCACCTTTGCCATTTTGACATAACGTTTCTTTTTGCTGCACGCTAGTAGGCTGCTAGCTAGAGGGGCAGTCCGATGTGCACCGTCTCGATGCAGTGGCATTCTCTCATCCGTGTCAGCACAAGAGTTGCGACTTGATAGCCGAATAGTTTAATAGCAGCCTCTCCAGATGGTCGGCTGAGGACCCCTCTTATGGCCGCAAGTTCGGGTAGGGCCCTCAGATGCTTCCGTTTAGCTTGGGCCACTCCAAACTTTTTCTTTGCATGAATGCTTGCGCAATCATGCCTGATGTGCAATCACGGTCCGGTTGTCGTACCATCCTGAGATCAGTATTTTCTGTGTTGTGCTTCAGGCAGAACATCGGCCAAATCTTCCAGGCCTCCGTGCTTGGACACCTGTGCATTCTGCAAGCATCTGCAGCCATGTTTGAGCGGTTCTTCGATGGTGCTTCAGTGACACGTGTGCCCTGCTGGTGCAGAAAGTGGTCGAGAACGGCTTCAATCAGAAGTACTACGTTGCCATGGCCTCGGTCATGCGCTGGGCTGCGCAACATTGCCAAACCTAAGAATGGCCCCCCACCCTGTGTTGGATGTCGAGAAGTCTCAATTTTGGGCATGTTTTTGCGCGCGATCTCATTATTTGGAGAACCCGAGGACAACGAGGGCAACCTGAGAAAGCGGCTTGTGCAGCTTTCTTCCCAAGGTCAGCTTGCAGGCGGCGCGGGTGTGCACTCAAGGGCACAGGGGTGTCACTCTGTATCGCTCGATGTCATTTACCCTCGTTCTGGCGCTTTTTCATGCACCTTGCATGTGTGCCCCAAGTGTCAGGTGCTCAGTCTCTCACTCCGGCACTCCTGGCGCCTCGGATCCGGAGTAGAAAGCAGCTTCGGAGTTGGGTGTGTCTCGGAGAGCCTGGCATACGATTGTGGTACATTGCGGAGCAACCCGGAGTGAGACGCGAAAATCGCCATGCGCTACTTTAGTCTGCGTCGCTCGAAGGGATCAATACGTCTCATGGAGCAACCTTCTTCCTAAGGTTCTAGTTGTGGTACTTCTCCTGATGGTCCTTGTTGCTGTCAAGAGCCGACGGGTCTTTGTCGTCTGGACCTTAGCGGCATGTCAACGTGCCATCCTGTGTCATGCGCCCATGACTGGCCCCCCAAAGGGATGGAAAGAGCACCTTTGCCAGATGGAGTGCACGGAGGCGGGCGCGAGCATGCTCTGCTTCAAACCTTCCCTTGCCCTGGCTCTGCCACAGCCCGGCATGACGGACAAGATGATCCCCCACGACCGCGACCTGGAGGCCATTGCCCGAAGTTCTTTGCCTGGGTGTGCTTCTGTTCCTTCGCTTACTGGAGGTCCCAGGTCAAGGCTCCTTTCTCCCTGTGCTCCCAGCTGCAGCTGACTATTGTGACTATTGCGGATCTGCGGGAGCTTCGTTCCTTCTCATGTGCTTCGCCTTCCGACGCGAGAGGCTCATGAGATGCATGAGGTCAAGCCCATCTTGGACGAGGCTGCAATGTGAAATCTGGGCTCGCAAGCCATGGGACCCCAATGGAGCTTTCGGAGCTTCAGCAAGTCGTGGCGGAAGGCTTTCATGGGGTGATCCGCTTTTTTTCCCCATTTGACAGTGACAGGTCTAGAAGTCATCTGGGTGTGGCGCTTCTGAGAAGGTGCGAAGGGGCTGAGGGGCTTTGGCTTTCCAGGTTTTCTGCTTTTGGGATAGCATCATGGCCGAAGCCCCCGAGTTCTGTTTAAGACTGAAGAACTTAAGACCTTGCCGCACAGGGCCCCGAAAGATGAGAACATGTGCACCTTGGCTTGCCGATGAGAAGAACAAGGGGAGGGTGGCACGGCATGATGCCATAGGAGCTGTCCTGCAAGACTTCGTGTGTCATTTTGTGAGCTTATCAAGCAGAGTGCGCAAGCAGCAGGAGATAAAATCACGCTGGCCTGTGGCGCAGTCCCGCGTGCACCCGTGTTCACGCATGAAAGCGGGGTGCTCCCCGCGAGCGTGCGCAGCAAAGTGCAAGCTCAACCCGAAAGCAATATCAAAACAACTCAATTGATATCGCCAACCCACTGTTCTGGTGCGTGCACGGACCGAAAAGCCCGTGTGCTGATGGTCCCAAGATCCGGCAACAGCCTGTCCCATTTTGGCAGAGATTCGTGTAGTCTCTTTGATGGGGCTTGATTCTTGTCCCTTTAGGCTAGTTGTCGCAGTCCAGACGGCAGGTGCTTGCTAGCTGCTTGCTTCAGGGATACGGTTGCGCGGCATTTTGCTAGTTTGACGCTCAAACAGAAAGAGTGAGACCGGTGACAGCGACAATTTTAAGTAGCAGCCTGTATACTTTTGTCCACTTTTTTGGGGATCAAGTTTCATGGCTTGCATCGTTTGCACAGCCTAGTCCCAATTTCCACCCATGATCTGCAAAGATGCGAGAACATGTTGACATACATACTCTCTGTATCCCCCTCATGTCGCGGCATCTTGGACACAATGTGGCAGTTTCCGAGACCCTCGTTTGAGACAAAACGTCGCTTGCATGGAGCGAGAGACCCTAACTTTCAGAAGTTTCAATTTCCGAAGTTGCATTCTTGCCTTCCGTACCCGTACAGGTCCTGACAGGCCAAGGTGGATGTGAGGGGGGCTTCCTTGGTTTCTGTACAAGCGTTCTGATAGCCCCGGTTCCGTGCCCAAGTCTGAGAGTTCCCACTTTTTGTGCAGGGTGGGGATGGGAGAGACTTGGTTCTGCATGCACACCCCACACCAAAACAGGGTTGGGTTGATGCCGGCGCTTCATCTCCTGGGTCGCGACCAACTTCATGGGCATGTAACATGTATGGGCATGTAGTATGGGGATGTATGGGCATGTATGGGATGCTTGACTACAAGCAGGGTGTGCGAGGCTTGGTACTGTCATTTTCCGTCATGTCTGACGCATGCCTTGCCTGGCACTGAGGTTGTTTCACATCCCAGAGTCTACAAGCTTCATGAAGTCTTTTCTGATGCTGCGGGGACTGCGACCCCTGTTTCCTACAGGCACAGTCATTAGTGTTCATGTGGAGTCAAGAAGTTTGCTTTGGATACTTTGCCTGTGAGAAGAGGAAACTTACCCTTGCAACGCCAATGCTAGCCTCGATCGTTAGTAAGTTTCCTCACCACCTGCAGACCCGCAGGCCACAGTAACTAGAATAGTCCGGCAGCAGCAAAGTCTTGTCCGCGTCCGAAATATCTTCCAAAGAGCCAGTAGACGAACTCTTGATGTTCCCGCCGCAGTCTGAGCCCTTCTTCAAGGGCAGTGTATATTTCTTCAACATGCGTAATTGGAGCGAGCTTCCGCAGAGGATGTGGCCCATGCGATTCGAATGTTTTCAACAAGCTCTTGCTGCTCAAGCTGTGCGTTGAAATGCTTGTTTGGCTTGAGTCCTTTGCCATCTGTATTTTGGATTGATGCCTGTCGAAATCCAATTCGCTGGTACTCACCAGCTAGTGCGGAGCTGATCTTGTTTTCGGCAGGCAGGCCATTCCTGATGTCGATACAAGCACAGGAAATTCAGATCTGTGGATCTCGCACGCAGATCCATGCTTTCTGCTGCTTCTTTGCTACATGCCGTTTGTGTTCGAAGAATCCCGTGGGCGTTGTTTACATAAGCAGTAGCCAGCAGAGGCTGTGCGGAGGCTTGCAGCCGACCTGTGCTGCGCACCATAGTCGACTTAGGAGTGGGGTTGTGGGCTCTATGGATGCTGGCTTTGAGGTGCACGAAGAGGCCTTCGCAATAATTCGTTGCTCGAAGAAGCTCCGTCTGCCTGCGGCAAAATGGGTGCTTGCTTCGTGTCTTTTGACCTCCTCTGGACCGTAACAAACATGATGCAAAGTGCAGCAGTGGGACATGGCCTCATGCAAGTCGTGCTTAGGGAATGCACTCGCCGCTGCAGCTTGACATGGTTCCCAAGGGGCTTGGGGTGGGAAGAACTCTTCACAGCTTCGGAAGTGGACAAACTGAGCATGCAGTGTCCGAAGAAACTTCACAGGTTTCACGGTGATTGCAGCTTAATTCTTGTGAGATTGGTGAGCGGCTTCCAGCTTCACCTCCAGTCGTGGTAAACGCCCAACAACCGAAACGACCCCACAACACATCGCAACTACAAACCTTAGTGCAACATCCACAACTTTGAGGCGCGGGTGGCTGTTCTCTCATGTTCAGGGTCGCATTTGTCGTTGCTTGTTCTTTCAGGCCCTGCGGGGCGTATGAAGAGACGGCAACTTGTAATGCAAAGATGGCGCAGAGCCATGCCTGTGCTTGATGCAACTGATCATGTTTGTTGCCATGCCAAGTCATGCAGGGTTGTGGCAGGGAGGTTGCGTGGCGTTTCCTCGTCTTGAATATTTAAATCTTGCCTCAGTTTCTGACCGCGAAGGGATGCCGACAAAGGCTTTCGGAAGGTCAGCATGTGCATCATGCGTCGTGGTTCGGATTGTGCACTGGAATCAAAGGTCCAGTACTTGGGAAGACGGTGGGCTGCTTAGAACACCTTTTTCTGATAGCTTCTTTTGCCTTGTAGGAGTTCAGGCTGGTCATGCCATGAGTGCCGAGGTGATCGCCGTGGCTCAAGACGCATTGCTTCTAATCGCGATTTGAGCTGAGTCTTTCATGCAGTGAGATGTTGTAGGCCGTCTGATTGTTCCTCACCATGCAAGCTCTCAGGGAACGATGCCCTGCGTCTTGAAGTTTCTGACTCCGGAGGCTGTGACATTGTATGGTATCAGTGCGTGTTTGACGTCATGATGAACCACAAGCCTGTGGCATCGATGTGCATGGTGGAATGTGGCCTTACTGTAGGCGCCAAGTGGCCAGAAAGCCTAAGCTTCTTGATGAGAACATGGCTGAGCTGCCATGGCATCGGCCCGGGGATGCCCCTGATGCTACGTCCGTGGGGCGGTCCGAAGTGCATGCATTGCAGCTTCATCAGAGCGATTATTTGAGTTGCCATCCGGACAGGCAGGGCTTTTGGGTGACACGCCAAAGGAACCGCGCAATGCCTGCCAAAACAAACTTTTGCCGAGCTACGGCAGACTTTTCAAAGGCATGGCCAGGGGTCTGGCGTTCCCCTCAGCGTAGTCCCATGGCCTCCAGAACGCAGCGAAGCTCGTGAGAGTGGTCGCTCAAGGGTGGATCGCTTGTTCAGGTGTGACTGCTGGTTTTGGGCCGACAAGAACAACTGACCTTGTACATCACACCCGCATGATACTGGCTTGTCAGGAGTCTTCGGGATTTTTCGGGGCTCTGGGGCAGGCCCTGGCTTCGGCCATTATCGGCAAAGGCGGCGCCGTCATTGCCGCTTGGTGCAGAGGGATAAAGACAATCATTACAAGGGCGGTTTCCCTTTTTTTGGAATTCCACGTGCTCACGTGAAGCATGCCGCGGCTTCAGACGTTCTTGTTGAGTGACGGCAGGCTGAGATGCGGCAGAGGCCCCACGTGCTCTCGCTGGCTGCGAACCTGCGAGTTCAGCGTGACCTTCTCCTATTCTCCGATGTCCTATTGGGAAAGTGGGAAAGCAGGACGCAAGCCAAGATAAGTCTCACGGAGCACAATGAGCTCTTCCCAGGCCAGGGCGCTCGGATCAACTGTCGGAGGGCGAGCTTTGCATTGTCGTAGTATCGTCTCGCAGCGGTTCAGTTTGGCAGGAACTGACAGCCGTATTATGACAGCCTCGGCTTCCGAAAATTCTCACTTGACAGAGCTGTCAAGACTAGTCATCGAGAAGGCCACCGCTGTTGGGCCTGATTCAAGAGGTAATGAGGTATAGGGTGCTACATCCGGCATGTGCTTGCAGGTCTCCGAGTGTGCGCAGAGCACTCCTGGTGACTCCACCGGCACGCCGGAGGAACTAAGACTTAGTGTCCTGGCGAGGGCCCCAGCACAAAGAATGAGAAGATCAGGGACAGTCGTGAGAGTACAGGTGCCCAAGGCCGCAGTCGGTGGCCTCATCGGCAAAGGAGGCAACGGCAACGGGGTGTGCTGTCCTACATCACTTAAGCACTGTCATGCTTGCGGTGCCCGTGTGGCTGCTTTGTTGAGGCTCGAACATTAAGCACTTACGGGAGACCACCAGTGCAAAGATCTCCATCTCGGAGCCGGCCGGAGGACAAGGTCCAGCGGCCGAACAGGCGACTTGGAGTGTTGCGAAGCGTCGAAGATTTTCTGGGGAGCATCCTGGGGGGAGCATCCTGGAGTTGCAGAGTTGCGGAGGTTGTCTCGATGGTTGGCACCGCCGCTGCTCTGGGGCACCTTGCCTTTAAAGAGCTTCACGGAACCCCAAAAACAGAAAGGCTTAGAGTTCACGATCTTCGTGGGGGTCCCTATGGCGCTCAGGCTGATCATGGAGGAGGTCAACAAGCAGGCCTTCATAGCCGAAAGATCCCGAAAGTCTTTTCAATGATCCCTGTGTGAACTCTGTGCCATGTATGCCGTGATTGCAAGTTGCCCTTGTTCTGCCCAAAGGAAGGGCGTATGCGTTGTAGTGCAGACTACGCTGACGACATCTCAGTTCCCCAAAGCCCAGATATCACGAGCACACAGAGCCTGCGGTGGGTGCCAGGTGCAGGTGCTGCAGGATGAGAATTGGCCTACTCCTGAGGTTTTCATTTCGATTCCCCCCCCCAAACCATGTCTGAGCCGCATATGGGCCTGTCGAGGGGCTTAGGCTGATGTAGGGCCATTGGCCTGGTGGTACGGCTTTTGGCCTTCGGCGCACCGGTCCCGCATGTAAGAAGCCAAGCGCTTCGAGGACGGGAAGTTGACTAATCTTGGAGCTGGGATGTTTGATTTTCTTTAGCCGGCTGAGACATACTGATATGTTGCTGCCCAGTAAGTTATGCTCCAGCCTCAGAGCCTATATAAAGCAGGTTCCTGTTGCCGGCAGAATATCAGGACGTTTTGCAAGCCACGCCAATCTCCCCGCAGCCATTGGAGCTTAGAAGCAGCGTACAATGAGTCCTGGTAATCACGTGCAAGACACATCGAAACGCGTTCCTTAGCAGCCAAGCTTCGGGTCAGCACTAGATCCCACCCATGGGCACGTGCGCATCTGCAAGTTCCGAACGTGGGCTTCAAAGCAAAGGCCATGCGCTTGTCACGCTTGTCACGCTCGCCCCAGGGTTGCCCCTCAAGCATCCTTGCATGAGGCTCTTCATTCATCTCCAATGCCAGCGACGTCATTGACAGGCTGGAGGCCACATCAAGATGCAGCTTGCAACAAGATCTCGGGCGGCTGCCAATGTATGAATGGCATAATCAAACGAGCCGCGTTGAGTTTCTCTTGGACGGCGCCTCGTGAGTCAGGCGGCTGACGGACAGGAAAACCTTGTGTTGGTCGCCAGCCGGAAAGTTGACTCCGAGGTCCGGATGTCAATACGCATGATGCTCAATCAAGCAGGATCGACTTTCTCTCTCTGTACAATGCATGTTTCGCACAGGCCATCCGCTCCCAGCGTGTAGAGGTGCGCTGCTACTGTCGAGAGCGCAGATGGAACTCATGCTTCGTAGTTTCGTGCGGTGGTGTGCTTGAATGTGTTTGGTACGGTTGGCGCTTGTCAGAGGCTGCGGTTGCCTCTCGTGGCATCAACCAGTTCGCTCGGAGGTATGTGGAGAGTCCTGTTGTAAGCCCCGAGCTGGGCCCGGAGGGGCATTTCTCTCCTTGAAAGGAGCCCAACTCGCACGGCCCTGGATGACCCACCTGGTCCAACGATGCGAAGCACCCCGTCTGAAAGTGCTGGAACACTCGAAGTAAGCACAAGCATGCCTGCTGTTGTGACGCGAATGCTGTGAACGTGTTGGTTTTCAGCACCCGCTGGTGCTTCCTCCAAGATAGCTTCCAGAAGATGGCGACGTCTCTGCGCATGTCCCGAATGGGAACCATGAAGCGCGAGCAGATGATCCAGGAAGTGGCAGCTGCAGCCCCCGAACAAGGTGGCAGCTTGAGAGTCCAACAGAGAAGGAAAGATCATGAACCTGTTCCGAATCCATCCCACTGTGTCCATGGCAACTCCAGGTTTGAAAGGTGCAAGTCTTGAGACGCGCCTTGCGACTTTTGGCATGCATCTTGGCTCTGGACGTCCTGAAATAGTGCGTGTGCAGGAGACATACCCCCCTCTTTCCCATCCAACTTACAAGTTGTTTCCTTTCGGCTTCCAAGCAGCCCACTCAAGATTCCGGCTCTCTGAAAAATATTTCAGGTTGCAAGCGATTTCGTGAAGCATGATTGGCCAGCTGTTATAGGTCTCATGTGGGTTTATTTGTGCCCGACCCTGTGCTTTTCATGGTACTCCTTACGTAGATTCTCATAGGTTCATTCTTTGTTTGGAGATGAAACTGGCGTTCAAACTGGCGTTCAGCACTGTCACAAGGCAGATGCTCGAGATGGAGGGCGATGGCAACTGTCAGCCTCTTGAGTGCAAGCATGTGTGTTTTTCAACTTAAGAGCTGTGAACAACATCCTGTAAACAAGCCTTAAACACCCTCAAGCCCAAAAAAGATCCCAGGTTCCGGTCCATGGCCTTCAACTTGTTTGGGCAGCAGGCAAGGGGCTCCCAATGCCATATGAGACGTTGCCTTCACTGCCCTTGCTGAGACTGACTGCGAAACTCCCCATGCCCCGCCCCCCCCCCCCCTCATAGTGCCGTAAGCAGTAAACTTTTTATGTTTTTTTTTTTTTTTTGGGGGGGGGCCCTGTGAAGGACTACCATGCCTCACCTCGGCAGGCTGCCGTCAGACACATGAAGCCACTCGATCAGCATCAGCATATGCACAACAGAAGTAAGAGGGAGATCCTTGCTGGATATGCTCTGCAAGTGCTATGAGATGCTCTCTAGTTGCAGTTCTGAGGAAGCACTCGGACTTCTTCGGTGTCTTTTTTGAGGACCAGGCTCTTTGACACTAGCGAGATGACAGGTTCATATAGGATGCCGCACCGAGACCGAGGCTGAGTTCTCGCGCTACCTGCAGAACATGGCACGCAACGGCACGTGGGGTGATGAGCTCACGCTCCGGGCCGTTGTGGAAGCTTATGGCTGCATTGCTCACGCGGGGCTCTTGGTGGAGCCCCAAATCTTCAACAGCCGCATATACACAGTCCTGAAGTTTGCCATGTTCTTTTCTGAGGTCGTAACTTCCGAGCCTGCGAACTGGCAACTGGTTCCATTGATAGACACACACACACACACACACACCCACCCACCCACCCACCCACCCACCCACCCACCCACCCACCCACCCACGCACGCACGCACGCATGCACGCACGCACGCACGCACGCCCGCGCGCACGCGCGCGCGCGCGTGCGTGCGTGCACGCTCGTACGCACGCACCTGCATACGCGCGCATGTGCACTCGCGCACATGCACACGCGCGCCCGCCCGCTCGCGCGCCCGCCCGCGCGGACTGGCGCCCACATGCGCGTGCACTCGCACACGCGTGGCGCGCTTGCACACACACACACACACTTTCAAGAATATTGTGGTTATCTACCACGTTTCTTGTGTCGTGTCTCCGCCTATAATGCATAGATGCATTGCGAAGTCCAAGTCTAGATCAGGCACTTGGTCTACGAGCCTGAGGGCCCAGACGCTCCTGATTTAGACGTAGCTGTTTGCCCGAAGGGCATGGGCTTGCCGAAAAGCAGGCCAGCACCTGTGCCAGCTGATGCAGCTTCGTTCCATGCGGTTGTTTCTTGGATGGTGGCCCATGTCCAACAGCACCTGACAGTCCGGCAGGAAGCGCATATTTCTGTCCTACATTTCGTGCCTCGGATCAAATGGCATCGTGAAAGGTGCATCAGCAAG